AATAATGTCGGATTTTAGAGTGCCCCCGAGCACCGACTTTTGGTATCTTTTCTGATTAAATTGATATATGGGTTCGATATAATCCGAAATGTTACAAAAAGTTGGGTCCTGGGCACTATCTCAAATCCAACCATCAAATCATTTCCATAAAAAGCGCCACCCAAAACCTAATAATTGACTCTAATATCGCTTAAATCTGAAATGTTACAAAAAATCGGAGCCCGGGGGCACTATCTCAAAATTCATGAAAATGATTCGTATTCCAATATCATTTTCATAAAAAGCGAATTCCAAAACATAAGAGTTGACCCTTATATCGATTTAAACAAAAAATTTTAAAAAAGTCGAGGTCCGGGGAGTCAAATATCAAATTTGATATCATTTTCATAAAAGGCGCCCCCCAAAAAACGTAAGAGTTGACCCTGATATCGATTTAATCAAAAAAGTTAAAAAAAGTCGTGCTCGGGGGGCCCAATCTCAAATTTGATATCATTTTCATAAAAAGTTCCCTCCAAAACATAATAGTCGACCCCAATATCGATCTAATCGGAAAAGTTAAAAAAAGTCGAGGCCTGGGGAACCCAATCTCAAATTCGATATCATTTTCATAAAAAGCGCTCCCGAAAACTTAAGAGTAGACCCTGATATCGATTTAATCTAAAAGGTTAAAAAAAGTCGAGGCCCGGAGGGGTCACACCTAAAATCCGACATTATTTTCATAAAAAGCGCCCCCCAAAACCTAATAGTCGGCCCTGATATCGATTAAATCGGAAAAGTTACAAAAAGTCAGTGCCCGGGGGGGGAGGGGGAGGGGTCACACCTAAAATCCGACATTTTTTTCATAAAAAGCGCCCCCCCAAAACCTAATAGTCGCCCCTGATATCGATTAAATCGGAAAAGTTACAAAAAGTCAGTGCCCGGGGGGGGGAGGGGTCACACCTAAAATCCGACAATATTTTTATAATAAGCGCCCCCTAAAATCTAATTATCGACCCATATATCGATTAAATCAGAAAAGTTACAAAACGTCGGTGCCCGGGGGAGGGGTGTATCTAAAATCTGACAATATTTTTATAATAAACCCCCCCTAATATCTAATAGTAGACCCATATATCGATTAAATCAGAAAAGTCAGTGCCCGGGGCAATTTTCATAAAAAGCGCTCCTGATTACATAACAGTCGATCCTAATATCAATTAATAAAATGAAATAAATAAATTTTCCTCTAGTGTTAGCGTTAAGTTAGATTTTAGTTAAGTTAATAGATAATTTAGCTTAAGCTAAAAGTTAGCGGTTCGTTTCCGCTAATAGCTAATTTAGCGCTAAAGTTATCTGCGCTAAAACAGTTAGAAGCTAAATTAGCTTAATATTTAGCGCCGCTAATTTTAGCTTTTTAGCGGTACGTTAGCTAGTTAAAAATTAGCGCGCTAACGCCCAACTCTGCTGTCAACAGATGAACAACAAAATTTACTTGCTTTTATTTACGAGTGCTGCCATCTTCATATTAAAGTGGTAGTCAATTGGAGCTAGGTCTGGTGAATAGAGACGGTGGGGCAAAAGGTCCAAACCAAGGCTCAATAATTTATAGCGAGTGACCAATGAGGTGTGGGGTCTGAAAAGTTTCCGACCACCCTCGTATACAGCTATACTGCTCACAATTAACAGAATTGGATCAATCAATTAAAAATAAACGCCCAGAACTGGCAAATCAGAGTGTTGTGTTCCACCAAGACCAACGCTAGGCCCCACACTTCATTGGTCACTTGCTATAAATTAATGAGCTTTGGATTAGACATTATGCCCCACCCTCTCTATTCACCAGACATAGCTCCAAGTGACTACCACTTATTCCGGTCTCTGCAGAACTCCATGAATGGAAAGAAATTCCAAAAGGAAGAGGACATCTAAAACCACTTGGATCAGTTTATTAACAATAAACTCCAAACATTCTATGGTACTTTTTGTCTAGTGGGCCGTTTTGAACTTCACTTCTCACATAACCTCCCTCTTCTTATCCCGCCAAATCTTTGAGTTATTGCATTCTTTAGTTTTCAGTTATTCCCTTATTACGTTCACTTATTAAATTCTTTACTTTTGGCCCGTTTGTGTTTATTTTTCATTATTTTTAGTTTTTGGCCCGTGTGTTTATTTTACTTTTTTTTTTAGTTTGTGGTCCCTTTGTGTTTATTTTTCATTTTTTTTCCGTTTATTTTCGTCATATTATGGATCTTTTTAGAATATGGGATTTGTCATCTTCAGAAGAACAGGCAATTCAATATTTTCAAAATGTCGGGGTACTTGCCGACATGAAATTGAGTGAACGAGGTCATCGGATGAAGTTAACCAGGAAGGCCAAATGGAGATGCTTTCGTAAGACTTGTGACAAAAAACTTTCAATAAGGAAAGGAACATGGTTGGAAGGCTCGAGGATTTCATTTTTAACAGCTTTAAAATTGATTAATGGGTGGTCCCATAGCTTGACAACGATGAAGTGGGGCAAAGAGCAGCTGAAACTATCCTACGGAGCTATGGTAACGTGGAACAAATATCTAAGAGAGGTTTGTGCCCATGGCATGTTATACAGGCAAAGAAAAAAAATTGGAGGACCTGGTAAAGTGGTTGAAGTAGACGAAAGTCTTTTTTCTAAACGAAAAAATCATGTGGGGAGAGTTTTACCTCAGCAGTGGATGTTTGGTGGAGTTTGCCAAGAAACAGATGAATGTTTTATCATCAAAATAATTGACAGAAAGGCAAAAACCTTATTACAAGCAATTAAAGAAAATATAGAAGAGGGAACGAACATTTATTCGGACTGTTGGAAAGGATACAACACCCGACAACTATGACGAGCGAAGCAAACTATGACCATTTCCAAGTGAATCACCGGTATAATTTTGTCGATCTATCAACTGGGGTTCATACTCAACACATAGAACGATTATGGGGCTCAGGGAAGTGGAGAAATAAAGTACATAGAGGAAATGCCAGACAACACTTCGATTCATATTTGTGCGAATTTTTGTGACGGCGGGCTCATAGAGAAAGGACCCGTTCCTCGCTATTTTAAATAACATAAAACAATTTTGCCTTCCAAAATAAATAAGACAAAAGGAAGTGAATAATTAAGTGAAAATAATTTGTACATATGTTGTTTATAGTGTTGATATTTTTTCTTTTCTATGTAAATAGGTTCTTTAAAATGTGTTTTTTTATTATTTCATTAATATATGTGTCATCAAATAAAAGTATTTTTTTTTGTTATTACATTTGTTTTTGTATCTGTTTACACTTTCAATAATACGAATTTAATACGAAGATATGAAGTAGGAGAAGGCTTATCACTGCGTAATGGGAGTTATCAGTGTTCAGGTTATAAACATTGACAGATAGCAGTCAGTAGCGGCCCGCTAGACAAAAAGTACCCATTCTATTAACATGGCATTATGCAGTTAGTGGAAAGATGGGAAAAAGTCATATTAAATAATGATCAATATATTATAGATTAAAATAAATTTTATGTCTATCATATTATTTCATCCTGAAAAACAGAAAGAAGTTATTGGCCAACCCAACATATATATCATATTTTTTTTTGTTCTAACATTAGAATCAGTGAAGAACAATTAGGAAGAGCCTTGGAGCCAGGGCCCAATAATCAACCTCATTTGATTATAAATTACGAAAGTGTGTTATTCTGAGTAAAAAGAACCTAATATGGCATTCCAGAGCTGCTACTTTCAAAAATGGTGCCTGATTTAAAGAATATTAGACCAGTAATTTGAGGACCAAAGCGGGAAATCCATTGCGAAAAATGTGAGAAAAGTTTTTATTTTTTTAACTTTTTTTGTTTTTTAACTTATAACTCCTAAACGATGCCTTAAAGCGAAAAATATACTCTCTAATAAATTAAAGAACATTAAATTGTGCTTTGAACAAGTAGATTAACTTTATAATTTGTTTAAGTGGTAAGTTATAGAACCAACTTAATCATATTTTTCAATAACCGAGACAAATGACTATAAATGGCCCTGCAACTTGGAAATGAGTTCCTTAAGAGGAAAAATCAATTGAATCAAAGTTGTAGGGCATCAAATGTTGCGTCCAGTGAGCACCAACTAATTTAATATAGGTCACTTACTATATGAAATGAGATTTTATACAGAACATAGATCTTGTCCTCCTGTATCAATTTGAGCTTTCAACATTATTCACTCAATATTAACATTAACTTCAGCAGAATTAATTTTGAATTACCCATATAACTAAATACAAAGTAAGAAATATTACTTAGGGATCTATCTTCATGATGATCATCTGGCAGCAATTCTTCAATATTACACAGATATTTATTCCTAAATGCCCTACTTACATTTTTCTGTTGTTTAAAGTATTTAACTTTACATATATTCTTTAAATGTCGTTTGATATGACAGTTCATGACATTCATAATTTGTATACCTATATTGCATACTTGTATGCTTTGTGTAGCTACATACTGAACAAGATTTTGTCTTTATCAAGTAGGTTTCACTCTTTACTTATCCTCTTATCCTCCCAGCTTATCCTGCCACATTTTCACTTTTCTCTTTGGCCACCGCAATCTAAAATGTTAAAGTGGCTGGATCTTTTAAGGCATTTTTCTCTTTTCCTTCCCTTTCTCAAGCAGGCATAAGTCTATAAGAAGCTTGTAAAAATCTTGATGCAAATTAGTGATGAGAATTGACCTTTTATTTTCTTCTGATGTAATCTCATTAGCAGAAAAAATTGTTTAAGCCTTGTACTGTATTCATTCCTTAATTCAGATTGAAATTAGATAAATTTCCAAAATGTCCTACGATGGTTTAGCTCATGCCTTATTTCTTTTGTTCAATATTAGCCTTTTTATTTACATGCATAAAACACCATGTGATAATTGAAGATAAACTAAAAAGCTAGATTAAACTGAACCTTTTATATCAATACCTTTACTGCTAATATAAATATATTGAAAATGTACGTACAATATTACTAAGCGCAGGGATTGGAAAACCGTTGAATGATGTTTCAGGAATAGTAGATTCAGTTTTGAGAGGATCGAAATGCTGAGGCTGGTCAGGTATAGTCTGTGCTTGTTGTTTTACAGGCCTTAATGCATGGACCATCGACATCACCGATATCGTTTCGACAGCTTCATTTGACTAGAAAGTACATAAAGAAACAACAAAAATTAAGAATACAGTTCTAAACAATATTTTTGAAAAGAAAAAAAAGATTTTTGTATAAAAAATTACAATTGTATAATAATTAATGAAAAAAATAAAAGAAATAGATGAATAAAAATAAAAAGTAATTAGTTCAAGTATAATTTTTTAACAAATCAAAACCTACTACATATTTACAAGTTGTTTTTATAGGAGCAACAAAAAACTCCTTTGTGTGTAGAAAACCAAAAATTAAAATTTTCAGCAACTCACAAACAAGTACAGAAAGTAGTCATTACTAAATTACTTCAAGTAATTCTCAAGTACCATTTGGAATGTCCTAGGCAAGTACTTTTCCAAAACTTAAAGCTTCTAGATTAATTTTATTGACCTTTCCTCCTTCCTGAATAAATTTCAGGACATCCTAACATAAACTAATTTTATAGACTCAATCACGATAAAAATCAAATAATAATTTTTATCAAATGTCAAAATAAATATTATCATTTATTTTTGCCTTCTTAATTGACTGATCACCCCAACTATTCTTCTCTTCATTATTCACGACAGTCAACCATTTACCCGCAGTTAAAAAATAATTTTTATTTAACATTACAATACAATTTTGCTTGAAATTTACCACCTTCTAAATTGTGATCCCAGGGCAAGTGTCCTGGTCTTGTTTGCCCTTCTTTACTTCTGGCCCTATCTGAAATTATAGTTTTGGCATTTATGTCAGTGAATGCTGGGTTTAACCAACACTTCTTATTCCTTTTCAAACCGACCACTGATTAAGTATTGCACATGACTTTTAATCATTTTCGATTATTTGGTATGATAACACATTTCTCTTCATTCTTATTGGCTAATGTACATTTTTTGGCCTCTGGTTAAGGTTTCTTGAGTATTAGAAAAGAGATAATATATAAAGTCACAGTTTGATAAAAGGTTAAAGAAAGTATATCAACAGAAAACTGCAGATTTGAAATTTTAATTTAAAGTATGATTTTTATTTTCACTTACCTGTATATGTAATATATAGTAAGGGTAAGTATTACGATCATGAACATTTTTGAATCTAAGTTTTCAACGGAAATATACGTTTTGAGGTCCTCCGAGTCCAAATAACCAAGCCCTGTAAAATCATACGAAACTGATATTGCGTATTTAAGATAAGTATATGCCTTAGATGTGGCAGCAACTTTTTCCTTAAAATCAGCTAACCGGAAGTGCCACTTTATATCTACAATGAAACATATTTTTACAATTTTCTCAAAATCAGCTCTAACGATTTTGATTAAAATAGGTGTATCATTGTATAATTAAAAGGTCTTTAATATCACTTAAGTCTTATCACCATTGATGTCACTTTACAGGGTTTAAATGCCCAATGTTCATATGAGTCTTCCTCTAAAGTACCTTTAATGTGGTTTTTTTTTTTTTAAATTAACTCTCTTTTATTGACAGTAATTATAAAAAATGGCTGAATATGAAAATTGATAACTCGAGAAAAAAAGAAAAATGCTTATCCAGGTTGAAAATGAATCTCCAGAAATAACAGTTAGAAGGTATACATATAATATATGGTATATCGTTGGAGGGCGAAACATTTTTGAAAAAATAATTTCAAATAATTAAAGTTGTAGAAAGTAACAGAGAGTGATGAAAAAAAATTAAATAATTATTTCAGAAAAATAACATTATTTAACGTAAATCACATGTTTCGAAGGAAATTAAATGAAATTTTCTTACTGTATGTAACTTTTAAATGTTTTTCTAAGCTTGAAAAAAGTATTTAAAAATCCACCAAATCATGCCAATGCCATTGTTTAAAATACTATTTCATTGTACTTGTGTGAAAGAAGAAGTGAAATATAAAAATATTTCATGGATATGTTTATAACCTCAAATAGAATTATCATAATTTAATAACTCTAGATAAGATGTTATATTTAAATAATTAGGGGTGATAAATATTCAGAAAGTAGTCATTATAAGGTTTTTATTAGTGCCGACGTTTCAACCCAAACATGTGGCTCATCATCAGGGCTGAAAATTTATTAATACAATCAGAGATATAATATTATACGACTAATAATGTTTAATAATAAAAAATATAGGGATTGATGGATGGTACATGAATCTTAGCTAATATTACAATACAAATGAAATGTGTAGAAAGTTATATAAACTAAAAATAATGTATATAATTCATTTGTAAAAATTGTAATATTTTCTCTTACTAACCGTGGTTCAAGCACTGAAGATATTTAAGTACTAACACATATTTCCATTATGATTAATATTGTTATTCTTAAAATATTGTACAATATATTGTCCTACTTACCATTTTGATCCACTACAATTATTTTTATTATAAATATTATTTTTTTTTCCTCGCGCGGGCTCATTACCGCGTATGGGGAGCGTCCCACGGGTGGCGGATGTGGGGATGGTCGGTGGAAATTCCTTGGAAGTTCCTCCCGGCTAAGTCCGATGGACTCGCTGACCAACAATGAGAGGGGCCCTCCAGACTTGCTGGAGGGAGGGGACCTCCAGACTTGCTGGAGGTAGGGGCCCACCAGACTTGCTGGAGGGTGTGACGTAGGATTGAACGCCCTACTCACATATCTTTAGTTCACCAAACACCACAAAAAGTCATGGATCTCCCTAAGGTAAAACGCTCATTATCCGGAGGTAAACTAGTCCCCCGTTCGGGTCTCCGGGTGGGGACTGCTTTAGGGGATTCATGCCGCAAGTTGAAATATAGGGATTTAAATATTGGTACGTGGAACGTAAGGAGTTTAAACACAGCAGGGGGGCTAAAATCGGTCGCGAATGAGGTAAATGGGTACAATTTGGATGTCGTGGCTCTGCAAGAGGTTCGCTGGCCAGGGGAGGGCTCGATGAGGGAAGGGAAGTACACTATTTGGTACGGAGGAAGCGGGAATCATTGTTTAGGTACCGGGTTTCTAATTAAGAGTAGATTACTATCCGCTTTGAGGGACGTACAATTCTTTAGTGATAGAATTTCGGTAGCTACATTTCAGGGACGTTGGTTTAAAATCGCATTAATAAACATACATTGTCCGACCGAAGACAGTGACGATGAAGTCAAAAGTGAATTTTACGATAAACTCGAATGGGTTTATGATAAACTACCGCGAAACTACATGAAAATAATTGTAGGTGATGCGAACGCAAAGGTAGGAAGGGAAGAAGTTTATATTCCGACGATTGGTAAAGAAAGTTTGCACGAATATAGTAATGATAATGGGATCCGTCTGATAAACTTTGCCATCTCGAAAAACCTGATAATTAAAAGTACGACGTTTAAACATAAGGATATTCATAAATATACTTGGACATCACCGGATTCGCAAACACGAAATCAAATCGATCATGTCTTGATACAACATAGCTGGCAAAGCAGTATAATTAATGTACGGTCTTATCGCGGAGCAGAATGTGGGTCGGATCATGAATTAGTAATCGCGAAACTTCGACAAAAACTTAATATAAAAAAGAGAAAAGAAAACCGTTTCGATTTTGAGAATTTTAATTTGGAAAAATTAAAAAATCCATCAATTAGAAACCAATTCGAGCTAGATGTTAAGAATAGGTTTGAAGCTTTACAGCTTCCTGACGAGGACCACGAGGATATTGACAAGTTATGGATAGAGATCAGGGATAATATTAAAGCGGTCGGTAACTCGTGTCTAGGAAAAAAGGAAAATAAGAATAACAAACCGTGGTTTGATGAAGATTGCTTAAACATGTGTGAAAAAAGAAAAGCCGCTAAATTAAAAGCTCTAAATAATCCTAGCGAAGACAATCTGGAATACTTCCGAATCTCAAAGAACGAAACGACAAAATTGTTCAAAAATAAAAAAAGGGAGTATCTTAAAAACAAAATAATTGAAATAGAAACTAATAGAATCGAAAATAACGTAAGAGACATGTACAAAGGTATAAACAGATCACGTAAATATGTAGGGCCCGTAACGTCTGGAATTAGGGATGATAATAACAATATTCTGACCGATCCGGTTGACATATTGAATAAGTTTAAGGACCACTTTGACAATATTTTAAATACGAGAAATTATGATCTGTGTCCTCCTTCTGAGTACCAGAGTGCTGAACCGTTAATAGAAGGACCAAGTAAAGAGGAAGTTGAAGTAGCTATCGGAAAATTAAAATCATATAAAGCAGCGGGAATCGATAATATTCCTACTGAACTAATTAAGGCATGCGGGGAAGCTGGAGTTTCTAAAATACATCGGTTGGTTAAAAAGATCTGGGTGAACGAGAAATTACCTGAAGAATGGAAAGAATCTATTCTTATTCCGATTCACAAAAAGGGTCCGAGGACGGATTGTAATAACTATCGAGGAATTTCACTCCTTCCGGTATGTTATAAAATATTCACTTCAATCTTAACCAGTCGAATCACGGAATACGCCGAGGAAATTATCGGAGACTACCAATGCGGATTTAGACGGAATCGTTCGACAATTGATCAAATATTTTCTTTACGGCAAATATTAGAGAAAAAATTGGAGTATAACGGTATTGTTCACCAGCTGTATATAGATTTTAAAAAGGCTTACGATTCTATTGACCGCCAGAAACTGTATAATATTCTAATCGAGCAGGGGATTCCAAAAAAACTAGTAAATCTAGTCAGGATGTGCTTGACGGAGACACTCAATAAAGTTAGAATCGGTAATAATTTGTCCGAAAAATTTGAGGTTCGTTCGGGCTTAAAACAGGGGGATTCTCTTTCGCCTGTCCTGTTCAATTTGGCATTAGAACATGCCATTAGGGAGGTAATGCGAACCGAGAAAGGGTTGGATCTGGGCGGGACAACATCCGTGCTGGGCTATGCTGATGATCTGGTACTGTTAAGCGAAGACGTTGAAACTATAAAACTAAATACGACAACGTTAATGAAAGCCGGTAAAGAACTAGGACTCGAAATAAACGTGGATAAA